ATATAACATGTGATAGTGCTTACACAATGTGATAGATGAAATTAAAATGCTAAATAATCATTTTGCCCGTCTGGCTATGTACAAGGTGAAGTGATAGCCTTGAATACAAAATCCGAGACAAATTGTATGTTCATGAAAGGTAAAGATCGGTGGGTAGAGAGTGGAGGAGTGTCCAAGCAGACGATGAGTGCCCCGGCGCACTGTCAGTGGCATAAAAAGCTGTGAAAGGCGCCTCGGAAGCCCCTCCGGTTCTCAGACACGCCCATCGCTGGCCTATGGAAGGAATAGTAACAGCAATGTGTTTAGAAGAAATCGTTGCTGTCATCATTCGATATTCTAAATGCAATGTTACGCTGGCCGCTTACTTTGTATACCTATCGATCGACGTTGGCATGATGCCAGTACTTGACTACACCCGTACGACTGGCAATAGCCTCTGCAGAAATCGGAAAGAGACAATGGTTTCGTTTCTCGGTGTGGTTTGATCACAAGTGGCGCAGCTTACCAGGCGCACAGTCTGGAAATAAAACCTCTGACGTAAGTGGGCAGGTGATCTAAGCTTCCATCCTCCGGCGTCGTTTCATTTGTACAAAAATCATTTGGAGGGATGAAATGACTGGCGTTTACATCAGCTGGCCCTTGCAACTCATTATATGGGCCATACTGCAGTCAGATGTCAGAAACTCCGAATAAAAGTAGAAGGCGTGGCGCATCTCAGGAATACATGATCTAGTCCAGAACGCTCTATCCTTATCTTTTTATTTACAGATACCAACCGCCTCAATATTCCAAAGATCTCGATGAACGAATCGAGGAGGAAGATAGAGTGGAAGCAACGCCTGTGAAGAAGAAATTCGACGACGATCGAAAAGACGATAGGCGTAAAAAGGAAAAGGTCACCGTTGAATCGCTGTTCAAGGCTGATCCACCATTACCGGAAAAATTGACTGCAACGGCCAATCGAACGGAACCGGTTCGTCTATCATTTCTTTGAAATTATGGATATTACTTAAAGACAGTGAGCACCCTGGCTGAAGGGTAGAGCGCTTTGATGACGTCATTATATGTCGTTGCTGAATCACGCCCCTCTGTGTGTTGGGAGGTGTGGCTGGAACCACCTCCCAACTCCCTTTCACCAATCACGCTTAATGACGTCATCAAGATCGTTCCGCCCTTCAGCCACTGTGTCCACTGCCTTTAATTTCGATGAGCTACATGTGCTTTGCACGAAAACGCATTGACTGCAGTGTTCTGAAAGTCAAACAACGTCGTCAAAGATCGACAGTGAATTTGGCGTGACTTTTTTTTCTGTGTATGTTCAACTTTACAGTCTTAGGCACCAGCACTTTCCTCAAATGCTTTACCATCAGTGGGAGAGCCAGCAAGTTCGAGCCTCGTCACAGCGATGTATCCTCCGATTCGACGGCCGGTAGTCTCAGTAGTTAATCGGGTTAGTAGCATGAATATTTGACCTAATCTTTTTTGAACAATTATTTACCTTCTAGACCGAACACAGCCACAATAGTCATTTATTATTCACACCAGCCCGGATAACTTTTGACGGCAAGCTCCAATCGTCCGCTGGTGCCAATGGGATTTTTACATTTTCGAAAGCGCAACAGCTTTTGTTAGCTTTTTCGAGAGTGCTGCAGAGCAGTACAGTAGATCATAAAATTTTTGGTCAGGATGTTTCTTGTTGAGCTTAGACCCACAAATTTTAGGGAAATGATGGAAAAGGACCAGATAGTTCATCGGTGGTGACAGCCATGTATCCTCATTTAGCATCTAGGCGATCTTTGTCGAAAAGTCCACCGAGGGAAGTGAGTACGAAAATTTTACGCAAACCCTTGTCGCTAACTTACCCACCTAAACAATTCCTCCTAAGTAATACATCTTATGTTGAAATGTTTCTTCTGTTTCTTCGACTTCGGTCGATTAGATGGCAGCGGGAGGGCTCACACAATTTCTCGGTCTCTCAACAGGTAATCTTAGTGTGGTCACACTATTTCCAGAGTATAATCGTCTTTAGAAGACTTGAAATCCAATATATCACAAACGGCATCAGAGGCACATTCCATGATGAACTTCTATTATTCTCAACCCTCCATAGGATAGAGCTACCCTCAATGCAACAAAATCAGACGTTCCAGCAGCGTGGAAGTGGGCCACAAAGCTGCTAGAGTGGTGTCATGACCGCCGCTGACCGCCACTCCTCTTGCTCATTGTGCTATTACCCGATGAGATGTCAATTTTGCTACTCGAGGACTCATAACAGGGACGCCCCAGGAATTACTAATACTCTGTGCAATGAGCGACCACCATTGCAGATACAGTGGTGTCTGCGATTCACTCATCTGCTATGCACTCTCGTCTTCCCAGGCCTTCTCTAGCCTTAGCCCCCTCTGTGTCTTCTCCGTATCTGTCTAGCTCTGCGTACCATCTCGTCCGTCGCTCGTAAAGTATATTCTCACTTCCAGTATTATCGGCGGTTTCTTTTCGTCCTTTCCATTAGCGGTGAACTCAGCATATCTCCTTTCAATTTGTGCAGTGACCACACCTGCTTGGTCATGGAATGTGCCTTTAAGTTTCGATGAAAACTGTGCTAAGGATGCCGTACGCTCTGATATGGTTACTATCCTGCTCATATAGACCCATGAAAACTATTTTGCGCACGAAATTGTCAATTTCGGATGGCTGTGAATGCTGAGATGAGGTCACAACACCATTCTGGAGGGGCTACTTGGCATCACGAGACAGTGGTTACCCGTTCAGCACGTTGACATGTGTCAGTTCTCCACAGCCAACCTTTGCGACTTTAGAGAGGGAATTCAGACTGTTTACGATCTACCTAGATGTGCAAATTTTGATTGTAAGCAAGACTAGTTCTCCAATCTTTCTTTGTCTTGGTGGGGCAGAGGGCTCAAGGTGCCGATTTTTGTCAGAGATAGAGGCTTTTGTTAGGAATTATATGCAACTGGAAGGTTGCACTGTGTGAACTTTCACTTCAAGGCATATGCCACGACAAATTGGATCTTGAGAAAAGGGTTATATGAACTGCTATAAAAAGGTGGAAGCTTACTATAAAGCGAATGAATAAGGCTCGTAGACGCCCAAGCGAGTCTACGAACGCCTTTTTGTGCAGGGTCAACTCCGTTGAAGTGATACCGAGGGGCGGAGCTCCGAAGTGAGGCAAGTTGAGGCAGGCTCAACATCACTAGGGCACCCTTACCGTTGGAGGTGTTGTGTTGAGGTACTTTCCAGAGGGAGAGTCATCCACTGCAAATTTTATCCGACAGTTGAAGTAGCTGCTGGTTCCATTGCTGGGACATTACCTCTTAGGCATCCTTTGCCATTTACCTCGGTTTTTCACACGTCGGCACCTTTACCATATCTACTGTCATTTCAGTGGGCCACCTTTTACCGTAACTGCCTTTAAAAAAGTTTGAACTGTCGCTGTATGTGTAACCAGTATAATAGCTCTATGATACTGCTCTGTTTTGAAGAACACATTCGGGAGGAACCTGAAAAAATTTGTCAAGAGCAAAAAGACAGCAAAGGGAGGGGTTTGTCTGCGGCACACTAACCCTTTTTTGAACTTTGTGCACCCCTTGGCACTTCCTTGCTTGGTCTCTCTTAAGTGATTCCACCGTGAAAAGCTGACATGCTAACGCTTAGTTTTGAATTGTGGACGTGTTCCTCAGCTGACAACAAGGGCCGAAGTCGAAGAAGGTGTGGTACTTGGCTGCATAACAATCACCTACCCTCACTTATTTTGCCGTTGTAGCTGAAAATCACCCCCTGCGGACCCTTTCGAACATTGAAAAGCGATTTACAGAACTGTGCTTGCCAACTGCATGTGTGCGATAGCTGTCTCTTATCGTATCTTATGGTAACTCTTCGTAAATGCACTGTTGGCTGGCTATTACCGTACGACAATGTACATAATGCAATTCGTTGTACATTGTAAACAATGCTACGGGTTATTCTGTCCGAACTTATAGGCGCATTCCACGTCCACATGACGCGATAGAACTCTTACGGATCAATTCAGATGAGTTCGCATGCGCACAAGTGTGCTCAACTAAACAGTAAACACGTATGACTATTTCGATCGAGCGATCTCGGGTCAACGCCGCACCACTGAAATTAAACTGGTTGTACTTGAAATGGAGAAAATCAGGACATTTTCTCATAAACTTCAAAACAAGGGAAAAGTGAGTAACTTACTTTTCCGCGATCGCAATGTTTGCATAATGACACCCGAGCAGTCGCGAGACTATAAGGCACCACGAGCAACACGGAAAAACAAACTAACGAAATTCAGTCAATCATTGTGCGGGCACACATGGGTTCCAATTCAACCAGGTCTGGGCCCTGGCGTGGGGGGGGGGATAGGTAAAACGCTTACCACAGCCCGCATAAATGGTAAGTGCCATAGCGGTACAACGAACGAAGGCAAGGGTCCGAACCATAACCAACGCTGCCGCCAAGTTACTGGCACACTCCCAAAGCCTCAAACTAGTTTTTAAGTAGAGGGACTCGCTCAGGACTCTGTAATTACGAGGACTCTTTCACGCTGAGCGATTCAGAGTTCTGAAAGCGCGGGGACGAGTCGTCGTATTGATCGTGCTTCCACTGCGAATCCCAATTACTGCTCATTAGTACCCATATATAATTTTGGAACACCGAGTGGCAGCCGAACCCGGTTGCGGTAATTGCTCGTACTTCATAGCATGGATGGCAGCGCTGTTAGTGACGTCATTCTGACCACGCCCGCCACCCGCTGCTGTGAGACGTTCACCTCGTGCAGCCCCACTCCTCTCCGCACTCCACTAGTGAGAGCCAGTGGCCAATTTGCCCTTGGTTGTTGACTCTGACCGGCATGACCAAATATTCCAAGCGCTCAACAAGGTTTGAGCCGGGAGGAATAAGTTAATGCTCTGACTTGATATAAACAACAATAACTCGTCGAAGCACCTTCAAAGGAATCCTTTCTCGAGAAAACTTGCATTCTTTCCCAACACGCTATGTCAGTTGTGATCACTAGAGATAACATACAAAGTTTCACGCACAAAGATTCAGTTTCCGAAGAGAAACAAACTTACAAAAACCACACTCTATGGACATCGAAGGTAAGTGGCGCGGAGCCAAAGGCGGGCATGGAAAGAAGTCCGCTTGGGGCGGCTACGTATCACGCAATGAAAGAATTCGGGATCGATAAAAAGGATGCAGTAGAGGTGTGAGATGTAAATGCAATAAGTCAAATGATCACTTTACGGTTTTTCAAATTTCTCGTTAAAACAAATACAATTTTTTGTTCATGTGTGAACTATCCCAAGCCAGTATTTTATGGGAGTGACAGAATCACGATTTTTCCGAGAAGGATTCCTTTGAGTGCTTCATCTTGTACAGCTTCTAAAATCAACCAAAAGTGCGGGCACCTTGTTTCGCTGGTTTTGAACATTTTCTTTTGCTTTTGTCGCTGCTGTCGGACTAATCTTCAAACTACCTCACCATTTTCATTTGACCGTATCTCAACTAACGTGGAATGCGCCTTTGAGTGACGCTTTCGGCTTCACTGGAACTTAAACGCAAACAGACAACGAGATTGCGCCGTATTCGACACGCATGCTTATGTACTAACGTTACAAATGTTCAGTGATTTCTAGCAGTACTGTTTAGTCATGATGCTGTTCGTATTCGAGTAAACTAGCCGGTATAGGTGGTGTCTTTGTAGTTGAAATTATTCGTAGTTTTATCGCTGAGCATCTCAGTTGGCCATCAGTTGAATGAGCTTTCCGTGGTTCACATTGAAGCTTTTGTGTTCACTAGCTGACAATCTACCTCATCCTAATTTTTGATATTTTAGCCGAAACTCGATGTAGTGCGTAAAAAAACACTGCGAGCTTTGTCGGTGGACATAAGTGACGAGCCGAGGGAGGAGAACAAGAACCGGATAACAGCAGTGCAACCGAAGCGGAAAGCGACAGAGGTCACGAACATTGAGGACTACCTGAAGTGAGTTTATTTATCCATCACCTACCCTTACCAACGGCGACGCGCTAAGGCCGATGTCAGACTTTGCGAATCGCGCGATTCGCTAGCGTCTGCGGTCGCGTCGCGGCCAGTGAATCACTCAATTGGCTGGTACCGCAACGCGACCGCGGACGCTAGCGAATCGCGCGAATCGCTAGTAGCGAATCGCGCGATTCGCAAAGTCTGACATCGGCCTAAGACCGCGCGAGTTTTTCCTTTACGGGTGCATGGGACAGGTGCGCTTTTATGAGCCCGGAAAATCCAGTAGACCTGAGATAAACTCACCGCTATCGAACTGCTTTGAGGACCACGCATTTTTTCTCATACTTAGGAATTAATCAATAATCTGAATACAATAATATCTGAAGAGAACTCTCGCCTGCGGCAAAAAGTGAATCAAACGTGGATCAAATATTGACCACACTGTCCCTTGCGGTCTGTCAGTTGTGGTCCTACCTGAGATCACACTGTTGTTGTTGTCAATGTGTTTAAGTATGCTGATATCTGATTTTATTATTTAGTCGAAATGTCGATCGATCAAATCCTGGTGAATCGGCGTCATTGTTGACACGTTTGCCACGACAAGACGATGGCAAATTGCCAAATCTGCCCAACGGCTATCCGTAATCGTTAGCGATCCGGGTCTGTCATGTCACTGGTACGCAAAGTATCACATCGCCGACGACAACGCGTGCGTCTGCGGGGTGTCAGCAAGCCAGCGATGAATCACTGATACGCATCAGACGCGTTTTTCCTCCTTATCAATTCATTTTGATCTCGAACACTGGTCGTTTCTTGTTAAATGTGTTTTTATACCGTTCATCTAATACCATGCTAACTTAGGGATTTCGATTAGTTTTCATCAAATTCAAATAAAAAATTTATATCATTTCTGCACTGTCATCGTTGACATTCCACATGGTTATAGTCGGAAATTGCATGTTGTTTCGGATATATTGATTGTTTCTATTGATTTTCACATCCTCTGATAATGATCAAATTGTAACAAGTGAATCTCCTCTTCATGTGTCATTGGGATATTTTCGAGTATTCCCCGCGGTTGTCCCCCCTTATCACTCGTCTCATTGTCCTCTCCTTTCCTCCCCTTTCCATCAAACATTTTCATCCGCGATTCCTTTCTCGTTCTTCTTTATCTTCGTCTTCCTTTTTTTCAGCCATCACTCTCCCCCGTTTTATTGCGTTTTTTCCCGTGCAACGTGCTTTCAAATTTCTAAAGGAGCTGACGGTCAAAAAAGTGGCAATAAAATCGATTTATTGATTTGATCTTACGGTACGCTTACGCTGATACAATTATGAGACTGACAAGTAAACAAGAATGACAGGATGTGCAGCAGGAATTTTCAGAAAAATACTTACAATTATATATTATAAAAGGTAAATACAAATAAATCATTGACGGTAGGGAAGTTATTTGCAGACAGGAATGATCATGATCGAATGCTAGATGTTATTTGGGGAGGTAATGGGTGACATTATGATGAGCAATGCTTGGCATGGATCGCGATGGCTTCAGATGGCTCTCATTTTTATTATTCAGAGGAAAGATAGATAACAGAATACAAAAAGTATTGAAAACACTGTCGTAGTGACGGCAATGAATGCAGCTGGCCAGTCCTATATCCTGACGTCGATCCTGCGAATCCGCCTCTTTGAGCGTTAGGCCACACCAATTTCGGGGAGAAGAACCTTCCCAGTTCCATTCACTGTATCGCTCAGCAGGTTTGAGAGGCAGGTTTGGAATCAGCGTCCGGAGGCACATTAGGTGGTATACATCTCATTTCAACGGCCACTTCGACCCACCATCCTTGATAGGGTGCGGACCAACACGCATTTCGCAACGAAGGATATGCCCCGGCGATCTAGCATGGCCTTCCTTTTAGAGCCGGAACGCCCACCGGCTATCTAGCCCCTCGCCGCGGGTCTATAGGCCGATGTCAGACTTTGCGAATCGCGCGATTCGCTACTAGCGATTCGCGCGATTCGCTAGCGTCCGCGGTCGCGTTGCGGTACCAGCCAATTGAGTGATTCACTGGCCGCGACGCGACCGCTAGCGAATCGCGCGATTCGCAAAGTCTGACATCGGCCATACGCAGCGAGTGATTAGGTAGCAGAGAAAGCGTTATGTTGAAGAGGGCACTACGATGAAGTCGCATCAATGCGCAAATCAACGGGCAAGGAAGGGGTCCCATTTCTCGGGTTTCGGGCCGTTTCAATGGTTTCTTCTTCATCCCTGCTCCACTGACCACCTCTACCCTTATTTCCATAAACTGCCTCCTCGTCATAAAATCAGCCTTTGAACTCGAAGTGATAACCCGAACTCAGCAAAAATTAGCTAGTCACCATTATGAAAATTGCGTTCGTTTGTTGCGCTAATTTGAAGCGAGCTGTTGTAATGTCATCAAGTTGTCAAAACTTCATCATGGATTCACGCACAGCACTTGGAGTTGAGATAGCAATGTCCAGATGGTTCCTCTTGATACGGAAAGTAAAAGCTCATGCCGGTTCTGGCTCACTGGCTCGGTAGAAGTGCAAAACGATTGCGTGAGATGACGAACGTATCTCTTGTTCATATTATATAGGATTCATCATAAAGGTATTAATTCAACCAAAAGATTGGCTCATGGAGCAGCTGTGAAGCCCTCGAGGGGACGTGGTGGAATGCGTGCCAGAAAAGCAGGCGGCCTTGCTTCTGAACTGAATTTGATTGTCCATTTATTTCGTCATAATGATGATAATGCTCGTGAGCAGAGTCACCCCTGGCATGGCGCGCTTTTCAAGCGGCCACCGTGTCGGCAGTTTCGCCCGGTTAGACACGTTCTCTCGCGCGAACATTCACACTCGCATGCTCGAGCCGTCTGCGTCTCCGCCCATACAGCGTGCGTTGAGGATCTCTCAACGTGCGTTGCGAACTGCGCAACGCAGGTTGACTCTGGTCCGGAGCAGGGGATATACGTTATGGGTTTGATCAGGGTAATGGGCTAGGTGGGTTGGAAAATTTCGTTGCAGCCCCAGAATGGGTAATGGGTCCATGGGACATGGCGACTCGCAATGTTATGAAAGAAATGAACATTGTAGCGGTACCAGCGCTTTAAACGCTGCCTCGACCAACTTGCGGAATTCTGCAGCGCAAACCCTTCACCTCCACAATACTGCCCTATAGGAGGATTTTGCAGTGGAGCTTCTTGACGACCTGTGTGCCTGTAAAGAGTGAAGCGCTAATAGCCTCGCATTCTCAGAGAAATATCAAAGACTCGCAGACGAGAGGCCGACCGTCATATATTTGCGAATTCACTGGATCGCCCTGACGCTTGCGCTAGCGAAATCGCACGTTGCACCCAGCGATCGAACGATGTACCGGGACGTCATGTGGCGGGACCAGTATTTTCAAAGACCGCGCCACTTTGAGACAGGTGTCCACTGCAACGTCCCGCCATTTTCAAAAAGGGTCCTACTGTCACGTGACACTGTTGAAAGTAGCGGGCTTCCTTTGAACGTTGGGTCCCGCCACTATTGAGTCGCTGGTACATCGTTCGACTCGCTGGTACATTTGTTCGATTCGCTGGGCGCAACGCTCGGATCAGCGCGATTCGCTAGCGATCGCTCGATTCGCAAACTATGACATAGCTGCACAGATGGACATGGCCGCTGTGGCGGTGAATGACATTCCTGTGAAAGCTATTGAAGGCAGTGTTCGCCGTTGACATGGATTACTAGCTATGGTTATTTACACTAGACCATGACTCGAAGTACAGATCGACAAGCGGTCGAGGTTTTTAGTTTTTTTTGGATAAGTACCGATTGGGCAGTGCATATATCCACTCTACGTATGGATGCTCGAGAATCGCAATTTGAAGAAGAGATTGTAGGACCATTCTTTCCACACTAACTGACCTGGACTGACCAAAGCGAACTGAAAGATAAAACTTTAGCAACTGTCTACCTCTCTTGTCCACAAGTGCCTTTACATACTTACTTGGAACTGCAGAGATCTCCAAATCGTCTTATGAAAATTTTCCAGCTCGTAATCTTTTCTAAACTGCACGTTGAATTCAATAAAGAACAGGGAGGTGGGCTATAAAACACTATGGCGAACTTTTCGCCACACAAGGTGATAGATGGCACACTGGTCCGGATAAGGACTCCTGCACGCTTCACTCCCTCCCGCCTGGTTGACGGGTATCAGTACATGCAGGCGGAAACGCACATCAAATGTCTCAACGTCCTCATTGGAGCCGGTGTGTAACACCGTTGGCCCAATGCTGTACGCCAAAGCCGGTCCGCGAACAGTGCACGTGCCAGAAGCTGCCGCGTTTTAGTACCATATAATGTGGGAGCATCGAAGGGAGCTGATGCAGCAGTCGCTTTCGGAAAAAGGAGAGTTACAGTATGATGCAGTGGTCCAAAGAATGAGCACTGAAAAGTACACAGCATCTCCCGCATTTATAGCTTTTTCATTTATTGTAGCCTGCTTCTCCTGTGTGTCCATAACCGTGGCTGATTCTCCTTAGCTTACCTATGAAAATCAAATAAGTTCAGATTCATTCTTCTCCAGTTCTTCCGGCTTTACCTATTTGACTTCAACTGTGGTTTTTTTCCAGACATGGCTCAGCTCTCAACGCTAACGTCGGAGGAACGCCAGCCATCACCACCAGTACCTTTAAAGGAATCTCCTTTACTCATATTTGTAAATACCCCAAGGCATGTGTCCTTGGGGTATTTTCGAGTCTTCCCCGCGGTTTCTCCTTGTTGCATCGTTTCTAATTGTGTTCTCCTCTCCTTTATCTCAATCCTTTTAAAGCGATTCCCTTCTCGTTACTTCTTCTTCATCTTCGTCCCCTTTTCAAGCATCATTCTTCGCTATTTCATTGCGTTTTCCTCCGTGCATCGTACTTTCAAATTTCTGGAGGTGATTTATTGATTTTATTTCAGTTCTAATACTAATACGATAGATAAGATTGACAACTGAACAAGAATTACAGGATGTGAGCAACAGTAGTTTCCAGAAAAATAGCTATGTTTATAAATTATTGAAAGAAGAATATAAATATAACATTCAGTAGAAAAGATTACCTTACAGCTACAGGAATGATCATGATGAATGCTAGATAATTAAATTGCGAGATACTGGCGACACTAAGGTGAGCGAGCAAATGTTGTTGTTGTTGGGGGCCGCGTAGGATGCGATGGCTTGAAATGGGTCATTTTGGTTATCTAGAAGAAAAATAGATATCCGAATACAAAAATTATAGAAAACACTGTCATAGTGATGGCGTGAACGGCAATGAATGCAGCTGTCCAGTCCTGAAATAAGTTCTAGGCATTGCTTTAAAAAGCCACCATTAAATACCAACACAAAAAGGTTGGCATAACAAACCAGTCGTGTGTAGCGCGAAGTGAACCTGCCGCCGTGGGCGGGTGTCTTGTGCATATACGTGAGTGCTACGTGAAACCACGCCCACCTTCTGGTAATTTCCGACCGCCGCTGCTTTCTCGATACCTTCGTCCTCTTCGGCAGCATGAGTTTGGAAAACACATAGGAAACGGTTCACAAATGATGAAAGCCTTGAAATATAGAATTATTAGTTAGCAGTCGCTACATGAGCCAATTAAGTGAGTATCCTTTGTTCCACAGAATTGCAGAAAAGACTCCGCCGTAAGAAATATTTACGCGCATCAGTCAACCCTGCGTTGCGCAGTTCGCAACGGCACGTCGAGAGATCCTCAACGCACGCTGTATGGGCGGAGACACAGACGGCTCGAGCATGCGAGTGTGAATGTTCGCGCGAGAGAACGTGTCTAATCGGGCGAAACTGCGCAACGTGGCCGTTGAGAACTGCGCAACGCAGGGTTGACTCTGGCTCGTCAAAAGTACACGAAATGCATTCGCGCGCAACAAACTGAGCGCGGCAGGCTCCGAGTCGTTCAAATCGCGCCAATTTTCCGCTTCGCCTCTGCGTTTCAACATTCGTTTGCTTAGTTGCACTTACACTTCCGCCATGGTCCTGCCACGAAAGTCTCGAATGCGGAGTCGTATGTGAGAGTTAGCATGTATCCACGGAATAGGTAACCTTATGATAGCCTTTGGCTAGGGGGGAAGATAGGGAGAGGTGAGGTACTCATAACATCATGATCATCAATGGTGTGAATTACTATTATGACATTATTATTTTCAATAGTAATATTGCTCATTTCCGCGCCGCACCCGCCGCCGCTCAACGTCACAAAAACGCGCCACGCGCCGATGACGTAAAAGGTGCAAATATCGCTAACTAAATCATTATGGAGTTGTAAAACAATTAAAAGTGCAGCAGAGTATCTCAGAATATTTGCACCAGTCCGATGTAAGTATTAATACTACTTACTGAGTGAGTTGACCCCATGGAGGTAAGTCTCGTCTTATTCGAGTGCAAGCCCAAAGGAATATCGATGCTGCAAGTGAGAATCCGTTGAGTGTCACAGAGAATTCAAGGAATCGCACTGAAACATTGAGGATTTGTTGAAAAGTTGTATACACGGGTCTTCAGAAGTTGTGAGATTTCAACAGACGCAGTTTCGGTGTGGCAGAAGCACTTCCAAGATGTGGTGAGATCCGATTTGAGAACAGTATGAACGTCAGAAATTGCAGTGCCAAAATGAAGAACTTTGCGCAAATCTGAACATACAGAACATTTGACACCATACTCCGAATGCTAACATAGTTGAGGGGGGTGGGGTGGGGTGGCGCTCTGTTCGTCTGCGTCTCAAGGCTTAGTCCTGCGGATGGCCGCTGTATTTCGAAACTGCCATGTGGCGGCGAAATAGTAACGGCCCTAAGACCAGGCCTTAGAGGCAGACGAACAGAGCGCCACGTGGCTGCTTGGCCCTCACCCCATCCACGCAGCACCCTCCCGACCGGTAAGAAGTACTGTACCTGGACTTTGATCATGCCAAGGAATGGTGTCAGTAGGAACAGCAATGCGCACACCATCAACGGAACGGTCAGCTCGATTCGAACAGATGATGTGGCTCGTTGCAGATTCAAGCAGAATCCGAGCTGAAAGATGCGTTTCTTTAACTGGCGATCAATACTACTTTGAGTAGGAGGGGACTCATCGTGGCTCCAGCGTGCCAAAATTCGCGGCACTTCTTGAAATCGATTGATTTCTTTTCTTGCCTGCGTTCTCCTGCCCAAAGAATGACGCGGCACGCTTGAATTAAGGCTATGGGCGGCCCTCCGTACGTGAGAGGGCTCATACATTGCATTACATTCTTGAATGGCATGCAGTAAGGGTGGAGAATTTTGGCGCACACGGACACGTAAGGTGTACATTAAGCTGAAACTTTGCGTAAAGATTTGTACCTGAGCCACTTGAGCAGGATCTTCGAGTGTTTGCGGCACCGTGCCGGACACTTTCCAGCCATAATCGCGGAAGTATTTGGGATCAGTGAAGATGGGAAGGCCTGAGGCGTCAAATTCGATGATATCCTGGTAAATGATTTATTGATTTTCCAACCTTGACGCAGCCGCGTAAAATGTGCTTACGGGATTGGTTTGTGGTTCGAGTGTGAAACAACATTTGTAGACGTCATCTGGATAGTTTTCGAAGTCCGAATCATCACAGAACGATCGCAGAGAGAAGGCCAAGACGGCTGTGACATTGCCACTCGAGGTGGTTTCCACTCGACGCATTTCGAAAGCGTCGCCATTCTTCAGATGGGTGTCATAGCTGGTACAGTAGTTATTACAGTATTTACACTAGTCTCGTAACATTCTAAGCAATACAATCAGGAGGAACCCTCCCGGATTCCTACTTCCGGCTAGCTCAACCTTTTTCAGCAATATAATATGTCATCAATATGATGTCAAATAGGGTCAAACATCAAGTCGTGAAAAATCCTCTGATGTCACCCCGCACCCTCCCTCCCCCCCCCACCCTCACCTCCAATCATCAATGAGGATCACTTCGCACAAGCCTTTCTCTGCGCGAAAGGTTGCAATATAATCCAAATGGTTCAAACCTTATGATCAAGTTCTGCTTATGCAAATGGAACTGGAGCACGTTATCTACTGGAAGAAGGCAAAATCGTGCCCCTCTAGTTAGTTTTCTACAAACTTTGAAACTCTAAAACTGTATGGTCAACCAACAAAGAAACGGCTGGTAATAAAATCAATGAGGAGGACGTGAAGAAGCTGAATCCCACTTTTGGGCGATGAAAATCGGAATCCAGACATGATTTAGACTTTGAATCTGGAGCTTTTCCATCTTCCATGTGTCGCGACTCCACTGTAGCCTGTCGTCCATCCAGGATAACTCCATGTAGCCATGAATAGAGATATCTTTGAGAAATTCATTCTGGAATAAAGTAATTGCTATTAGCTTTCAAATGCGCAAAGGCAGTGATTGGCTGGGAGGCTGAGTCAATTCGGTGGCGTCATTCATGTTGGGATGTCTGCGTCTGCGGTTAGACCACACATATGACGCGCTGGGTGGAGTGGTTAGACCGCCTTCCAGCAACTGCAACCACGTCCTTTAAACTGGTGATTTGAACAGGGCGAAATTCTCGATTAGTTGAAAAGTGGTTTACGCATTTGGTTAGTAAGTTGGTTTGTGGATGCGTTGTTGCTATGTTCTGATTCAGTCAACTCTTGTTTTTCAAAGAAGTCCTCGGCACCATTCAAAAGCATCTTTCCTACTTTACAATACTTTTACTATTACTTTCTCTAGAATCTGTGTGATTGTGGATATAGGACCTAGAAAATGCATTGTTATTTGATGATTTCAGTGAGAGCCAAGAACTGCCAAATCTGAACGTAAGGACAATTACGCTAGGGTTGTAGGCGAACCAAGTGCTCGAAAGCGATTTCCCAATTTCCAGAATGTTATCTCGTTGAGGGGTACGTTGCATTGAAAGGGCATTGACGTGGGTTTCTTGGGAATGGAGAACCTCATGTTTCGGGAAGCGGTCCCGAAAACAAATCCATTGACGAGAACTTTTAAAGAGGCTACAGTGAACATTGATAGGGTGCTTTCTGGATGGGGGGAGGGATTTTTCTTACAATTCTCACCTGAAAAACACTGAAACGAAAGGGATCGTGTGGAATATGCAGAATTTACTGTTTCAGAAGTTGTATAGAAGATTCTAGAGGATTGCAAAACATTTTGGCACCGGCGGGCAATTCATTATGGCGCTGAGATTCAGATCAGCCATCCAATGCTGAGGTGGTAAGTGGCCTGTCACATACTTCTACTGAATAATCACGATCGAATATAACTCTCTAATGGATCTATGGCGAGGATGTGTATTCAAGACGAAAAGCCTTACGAGAGTAAACCGCTCGATAAAAAAATTCCGCCGATGGGTAGTGGTGATAAAGGTTGAAGGGGTTGCTTTCAGAATTGGAAATGAGAGGTGGATTCTTGACAGTTCTGGTGAATAAAAAAGCTGAAGTGAAGGTGATTGTGTGAAATGTGAAGAATTTGCTGTTTTTGGAACTCTCCATAGGATTTTATACACTTGCAAAAATTTTCTGCACCGGGCGGATTTGAACTTGCAACTCTGCTGAAGCGAATTCATATTGCAGAAACGCGGTGACCTACATGAACCCAAAAAATGAATCGGGGCAGCAACAAATTTTGGACGGGGGATGCTCGAGAAGGGGACAGGTGCCGGAGAGGAAGTGAACCTCCCTTCTTTGGTTTCCTTCTCCCTCCGGCAAGGAACTGCGAACATGTAGAGGGGCTCTTAGCCACTGCGCTACATGCGCGCAAGTCATCATGGCACTGAAATCCTGATCAGCCGTCCACTTCGCGAGTGGTAACCGACCCTGTTACGTAGAGGGAAGGAGAGGGGGAAGCTTGAAGACGGTCACCCTTCGGTGAAAGGCTGCATGCCTGGGCTTGATTCTAAGTGGGAGGGAAGAGCGATTATGCAGAGACTCAAAGGATGAACATAGGAAAGTACTACAATTTATCCAATTTCAAAGGCTTGTTTCATGCCTTGAAGATTGCTTTTTGATGTGTGTCCATGGGCGCCCACTGTAAGCGTCACATAGACAAACGAATAAGCAAGAGAAGTTCCTTCAGCCTCTTGGATTGGTTCTCGTTGGCGCTGGGGCGCGAGGAACGCCTACACCAGTGCTACGGCTCGAGTGCGCGCTCCAGTGCCAACGTGAACGGTGGAACCACTCTAACGTTCTTAGATATTGTTCTTGTATCCGAGTATCAACTATTGCATGCTTTTTTTGCTTGAAGTTTCGTGCATCGCTCATTCATTTGGAGGACTAGCCGTTCATTCAGATGAAGAACAAGTCACCTGAGAGATAAGCACATTAGAACAGAACAGAAATCCAGCACAAAGTAGCTATTATCGCTCCCTGCCATCCATTGATAGCAAGGAGCAGAAAGAAACGATCTTTCGCCATGCTGCTAAAAGAGAGGGGAACCCCACTTTTGTTATCGAGCGCATTCACCACAGCAATTCGAGCGTGAAAAGGTTAGACGAGAACGTGGTGATGGCAGAAAAAATCTACTCCATTGAGTGAGGTTGATGAGGAGGAGCCCTTCAACGCACTCCTAGATGAGCATTTTGGTCAGAAGAGATGAGTCGTTGTCCTACCTACAGAAGAACGCTACATACCAAACTTTTGGGGAGTCCCTTCGAATTCAGGTGCTAAGTAATCAGTTTTCCGAGGCTGCAGCCAATCTCTTGAACCAGTTCGCGAGTTGTAGAGCGACCACATAACTGCGAAAAAGCCGCCAATTCCTCTTCATAAATTTCAACTGTGAATCTAGAACGAATCTCGCTAGGAAAGCGAAATGCTGTTCTTCAGTCGCGAGTACAGTTTTTGTGCAGACCTCAGATCACTTGACAAATAGCTCCTGTGAATAAGGTTACTGGATCCAAAAACTCAGACAAAGGGCCGCTCTAGCAACTGAGATTGCTCGAAAAGCACCCTAGATGATTAGAACTGGCAACAATGGCCAGCTCAAGCTAAAACACATGCTCATCGTAGGATTATCCCACAGAAGGCTGCGCGGCGAGAAGGCAGAGATGCAGTCGGGTTATCGGACGAGTCGTAGCGCGTACTATAGCATATTGCGTCAAATTGAACCGTTCCGGGTACCCCCCAGGAGGCCCGTCGCGCGGCAAGAAGGCAAAGTCAGCGGACGAGTCGCGCGCGTACTATAGGGATTTCGCGTCAAGTTAAATAGAGTCCCATTGCACGTCCTACATCGCACATCACGCGCTGCAACTCGTCCGCCGACTCTGCCTTCTTGCCGCGCGACGGGCCTCCTGGGGGTACCCACCGTTCCTCGTTCTCTCTCCTTCGCAACATACATAATACGCCTCGCACGGCATACACTGCGACTCGTCCGCTGACCCGTCTGCGCCACTGCCTTCTCGTAGCGCGAGAGGCCTCCTGTCGAATACTCCCACCGCAGCAGTGTCTGCTGCCTCACTCTTCCCTATATCCTCTTATCGCTCTCTCGTTTCTCTCTCCTCGGCGCTTTCTCCACTGCTAGCCTTCCCCGACTCTTCCACCTGTGATAAAAAGGGGCGATTGATTCCATTGAATTGCAGCGCTATTTCTGGCA